TTTCAACATGAAGCCAGAAAATCGGGACTTTTTAAAAATGCCCCGGGACATGGGACAAATTGTTATAAATCATGACTGTCCCGCTGAAATCGGGATGTATGGTCACCTTAGTTTAAATATCTAGATTTGGAACAAGGAAGCCCATGTTCAGTGATTGAAATCACCATTTGACTTGGTAGAGAAGACATTCCTCTATCTTTCTTTCTGATTAAAAGCAAGTGGGTAGTGGAGGAATATATTTTTGATGGGATGATGGCACAAAAATTGACCAACCTTCTGAAGATCCCAGGATACTTAAGGCTGCTTTTTAACCCCCAAATGTGTTGTCACATCCTAAATGTGGCTTAAATTTCAGCTATATGAATATTTTTAGCTGCTTTCTCACAACAGAAGCTTCTCTTTGTTCTGATTGTCTGTTCAACAATACTGTAAGGCTGAAACATATAATGTCTATAGGCAACCTTATATAAAAAAGCAATCTTTTCAAGTCTGTATTCTTCTTAAGCATTTTATTTATTTTACCCACATCTTTAAATGAAATGAAGTGAAGTTACTTTCAGCTATAATTACTGTATTGATAGCTCACTTTTAAAAATTCAGTCACATCTTTATCCCATAGCAATGCTATTCTTTGCACAATCCAAATGACTATACAGTAGAAAAATATATAATGAAAATTTATATATACAAAAGTTACCTGTATATGCAATCATTTCCTGATCAGTGTCACCAAACTAATAGCATTTTCTTCTGTTATATTCAGTCCTAAAGCACTCAAACAATTCACACTCAACTTAGTTTTCTTTCTTTCATGAGAATAACCATTCTATGACTCTTAGATGCTACTAAACACATCTCTTACTACATATCCCAACATTTGTTTTTTTGAATAAAAATATTTTGTATTTTTATATGTTCCCATGTTCAATGAAGTATTTTAATGCCTCCTTTCCCCAGGTCCCCAAACGCAATTATTAGGAAGTATCAATATTTCATCATTTGCCTGTGATATATCATGTTCTTTACAGTATCATCTAAAGTACTTTTATTTAATTTCAATATGATCTTCAGGTTCCTTCCAGTGAGTTTCTGCCCCCAATGATTAAGCTTTTAATTTAGTCCAAGTGTTTTATTTGCTTGCAGTAAAAGTTTCCACCTTGAATTTCATGAAGAAATTTAGAAGTGACCCTCTTTGATTTTAATTTCAACCATTTATTTCCCCCTCAATAAATTAAATTTATAAATTATGGTCCATCATAAATATGAAGTAGCTTTGATTAAACAGAATGTACATTATATGAAATACTTCAATTATGTCTTGCACTTGTATCTTTGTCTATTCTTCATTGGTGTTTTAAAACATCTGTTAAAACTTCCTGCGATGCAGATACACTTGTCACTATTCCACAAATGTGTAATTCTCCTGTAATGTTTAGTCTCATCAAATCCTCAGGATTCATTTTGTAAAGCTGCTGTTGAATAGCTGATGCTCTCAACCCCAAAGTTGATTTAAAATATGCACACAAAATCTGATGACATTATAATGAGGAAGATTTATAAAAACAGAAAATATCCTTGCCTCCATCTGTAATCAGTCTTTATATAGAGATTCATATAGATAATATAGATATGTATGTATACATATGTAAATGATTTATTCCCCCGCCCCAACAAGATATGAGAAATATTTGTGCAGATTAAGGGTCTTCATCCATCAATGGAATTTCTAGAAAATAAAAGAAAGAATTAATGGGCTTTAATTGTGAACTGTCATTTGGAATGTCCTGCAATTTTATTGTGTTTATAACATATCAGCAATGAGTCTGCCAGTTCTTAAGATAATTCAGTTATGCAGAAATTCAGGCAATCTTTTGTATTTATTCTCTGCTACTTGTATAATCAGAATCAGTGACTTCATAGAATCAGTTCAATTTATTCAAGGCACTTTATAAATGGCTGTGCGATGAAGCAGTTTTCTGGCTAACGCGTCTTATGGTGGATGAATTCTCATATAGCTTAAATTTGGCATACAGATAGTCAGCATTTAGTGACCGCAATTCAGTCATTAAGAAAAAAGGCTTGACTGTGCTTATGATCTTATTTCAGTTTTTTTGTGTTTCAGACATTCAAAGGTCATACATTTGAAGACTGATTATAAAGCTACTTTATAAAGCTACTTTTTCGTCACTGTCATAAGTAAAATGGTCATTACACAGGGCAGTCACTAAACATGGACCACTTATATATTTCAGATTAATTTGGGTCATCTGAATCATTATGACACTATACTGTCCACTTAATTTTGTTGCATTCTGCTTTGTTCTAGAACATGAGGGATTTCAAGATTAAAATATGTTAGGGCTTTTAGAGTAATTCTGTGTATTTAGGGAAATTTGATATGTCGCTGCTCAGATTTGTCTGAAAAATAATAAAGGCTGAATACAAATAAGCAAATAAACAAAGGAGAATATAAGCAAATAAATTCTATAGTTTCAGGAATAGAATGATGTGTACTATTCTCTTCATATACCTGTTTCAACTGGAACTGTGAATGATTAACTAAAGATTTGCAAGATTTGCTTCCCAAAACTTCCAGATTATTCTGGGAATGACTGGAGAAGTTCGATTTAGAACAGAATATTATGGAGAACACTCAATTCCTGGAATGGTGGGTTTTGCATAATTTCACTGTTTCACTTATAATAAATTACAAACATTAATTTTGTACTTTTTGATATTGTAGAAGATGCTGTTAGACTACAGGACAATTATATTCAGCATATTAGCCCACTGAAATGCACATACTGGTATTAAGAAAATCCATACTTTGCAAAAGAAAATGATTTTATAGGATCTTGAAATATTAATTGGATAACTTGAATGTTATAATAAAAAAAATAATTTGGGTGTAACTAAGATATCAGCATGACTTCTTTTTTCAGCCTGCTCCACTTTAAACAAATTTATAAAACCAAGTACCAAGTACTTCTATTGGATTTAGTCATCTAAATCCAATAGAAGAGAATATATGTACCTCAGGGTTGAACTATGATCACTTCCCCTTTGAGGATATCTATGGAATTTAGATTAGGTGCATGGTGCTCCTTGAGCTTAATTGTTCTCTGGCAGATGCTTCATTGCCCAACTAGGTAACATCATAAGTGCTGGGCTTTTGCCTTGAAGTTTTCTGTGGTGTGCTATTATTAGTTAATCAGTGGAACAACTTGCCTCCAGAAGTTCTGGATGCTCCAACGCTGGCAGTTTTTAAGGAGAGACTGGAAAACCATTTGCCTAAAATGGTATAAGGTTTCCTGCATGAGCAGGGGTTGGACTAAAAGACCTCCAAGGTTCCTTCCAACTCTTATGTTGTTTAATCTGAGGCATGCTTCCATGATCATTAGCCACATCATTTTTCACCCACTTTCTTGGGCTATTTTGTACCCTAGCAGTGATATAGTTGTGATTCATTACTGGTTAGGTAATGAAACATCTGCAAAAAAACCCAAACCATATTCAGAGAGCCCCAAGGATTTCACCTAAATTCCATAGACATCATCAAGGGGGAAGTGATATAGGTGCTGCAGCCCTGGCTTTCCCTGTAAATATGCTCAAGTAATCCCAAAATAACCCTGAGTATTTTAGGAGGGTAAAATGCTCATCCACTATACCTCTTATTGCACCCATTTTTATAAAAATGCAGCCCTTTTCTGGAAAATAATTTATCTGACTGTTTACCAAGAATCTGAAAAGTTTTAAAGTTTGAAACTTTTGAAAGTTTTAAAGTGGAAATTCTATCCTGACTTGGGACAAAATTCCATTTTGTTCTGAGTGTTCCAAAATCCCTTAATGGGATTTAAAAATACTCCTCCAAGAAACTGAGACTTAAAGACAATATTAATTAATAAGACAGCAGATATAGATTCCATCTCATCATGGAGAAAATCTATGTGATTGTTCAGAACTAAGCACAACTTGATCAAGTTCTTTAAAAAAAATCAGAATTGCTGTACAATAAGTATAGTATTGTACAATAGGGAGTTGGACTTGGACACCTCCAAGGTCCCGTCCAACTCTTGTTATTGATAGCATGTAATTAATAATCAACCAATTGGTTCCATCTCTATTGGCATTGGCTGGAGATAATTGAGGGACAGACACAAGTGGGGAGAGATTAAACATGGGCTTTATAGTATGTTCACTGAGAGTCCTTTGTGCACAGAGAAAATAGTTTGCTACATTTCAGAAAGTTAAAATTATCATTGTTTTAAATTCCTTGTTACATAAAAATTAAAGATTATGAACTGTAACAAAAATTAACCGGTAACCTACTTGAAAAGAAAACCCAGCAAACACAAAATATACAGTAAGGTTGAGTATTCCTATATTATGCAGCCACAGTGTCGCTTTGGATAGTGAGACAGGTGGCATATAAATTTAATAAATATTTAGCTTCAATACTGAATTATTTTTTGCGTTTTGGAGTTTCTTGGGTTTTCAAAAACTCAACACTAAAAATGTTACTTTTTTCATTTTATCAAAATATATAATTTTTTATTCTGAGTTGGGAATTTTTCAAAAATTTGGGGTGCTCACAAGATATCCTCAAAACTTCAAATATGCACCTCACCAAAAAAAGATTGGAGCTTTTGGAATATGGGTGGCAGCCCTGAAACTCCAACAGTAAAGATGGCTTCCAGAACTGACAGGGGGTGTTACTTGGAACCCTGACATTGGGCTCATGTTATAGCCATACATGGCTATCTTCATATTCTACACTTAGATAACTATTTAAGTTCCCTAATTATTTACTGATTCTATAAATAACTGCCTATGAAAACTAGCTAGAGTCTCCAACAAATATTCTCGGTCACAACAAAAACATTAACAACAATACATTTGGTTGACACATAGTATTGATTATGAACAATAATACTCGCTTTGCTTGCCCTGACTTTTTGAAATGAATCAGAACTGCACCTTATAACAGAAAATAAATATTAATAAAAGTATTTCAGGAACACAATCAGACATTCAGACTCTGAATGGCATAATTAACTGGTGTCCTCCAATTAACTTTGATGATGAAGCATAACCACCAACCACCAGTTCATTTCCTGTCAATAAATGACAGATATGTGCTTTCTGGACCAGCAGTGAAAATGTGGCTTGTAAAGAAGCCTCTGCTAGGAAAAAAAATGGGGGTGGGAAGGAGAGAGAGAGAGAAGCTAGAACAAAGAGACAGACCACGGATCTGAGGATAGTTTGCTTCTCCCAAGCATAATCTCATGGCTTTTCCATATGGAAAAAACTGATGCTAAAATAATCCTACATAAGGTTCAACATTCAAAATTACCATCAGCAATATCAATGCTTGGGCTGGTTGATGCTACTTCTTCAGTGGTGCTGTTGATAACATCAGTTCTGTCTGAGACAGGATGAGCTCCCATCTGACATGCAGAAGATGTGTATAAACTCTGGAGAAGTTCTGAAGAGCCTGAAATGCTGTCACACGTGTCAAATTCAGCTGGCAACCTGTTCAAATCATCTGGTCCAGGATAAGCTGGAGGATTCTGATCATCGGCTTGAAAAACATATCCCTGGCCTGCAGGGGGCACACATCCTGATGCCAACTCATTTATGCCACTACTCACAGCTTCATCATAAGAAGGAAGCATGACAGGAACACCATCCACCACCACAAAGTCTGGGCCATTGTTGCAATTCTCTTGAGTATCTCTAGATCAGGGAAAAGAGAGAACATGTGTATAAAAATGATGTTGAGAATGGCTAAACATCCTTTGCCAGAAACAGAGTTCTTCAAGAACAAAATTTTAAGTCATTTGAAATGCAGTTATTATTGGATAGGGCCCAATGCTTAAGTCTGTAAAGATCTTTCTGACTCTTGAGTTTATCTATCTTCCAAAATGTTAGCAATTTCCCCCCAGCTCAATGTCATCTGCAAATCTGATGAGTTATAATTTTATCACCTTGTTTAGATCGTTTATGAAGATATTGAACTGGGCCCAAAACAGAACCCTGAGGTATCCCACTGCAAGCTTCCCTTCATGTAGATGTAGTTCCAATAAGGGCTATAAACTGAGTATGGTTGGTCAGCCAATTACAAATCCATCTGGTGGGTGGTGGTACTGTCTATCACACATATTATCAATATATAAAAATATAAAAAGTAGTAGGCTTTCATCTGCTTATTAAATGCTTTAGGGAAGCCCAAGAATACTATGCCCACTAATTTAATCACTTTATCAAAGATGGATATAGGTTTTGCCTTGCATGAACCATTTTTAACAAACTTATGTTCCTTTCCTGTTCACCTTGTTCATATCTAACATGCCCACAAATCCTCCATTTGATTATTGATTATCTTTTCCATGATGTCAGGCTGATTGGCCTAATTTCTTGGATCCATTCTGGGAGTTGCAGCCCCAATGCCACTATAGGAGTCTTGCTTAAGGAATATGCTATACATTTGAAAAATCAAAAAAGATTTGGCATAAAAAGTGAAATGATGTAGGCAGTGAAGTTTTTTTAAACTAGACACTGAAGCTTCCCAGACAACTATTTGCATTTGCCAGCAGAATGCTTTACCCACTAAAACATTTCATACTTGTATGGGTCTCCCTCCTTGTTGAACAAGGAAAAGCTATGTTTACCTTTGAAAGAGTTTGTGGGTACCTAGAAATGAACAAGATAATTCCAATTCACTTATTATATAGTAAGTGTACAGCTTTGCTTTTGCAGTCAATGAAAACTGTTTTCCATTGTAGAAAATTCTTTCAGTGTCTGTTTCACATCCCCCCCCACATCAAAGAGAACTAAATGAATAACTAAGTAACTGATCAAGGTAAGTGGGCTTGATGGGGGAAATACAAGCTGTACATTAAACAGTGAAAAGTTAGAACAGGTAGATGAGTTTTTGTCAGAGTATGTTCATAGACTGGAATAGACAGGACAAAGCAACAGGTCAGCCAGTGGGGACTGTTTGGATAGACATGGTAACACGTCACCCAATGGGGACTGTTTGGATCAGTGGTGGGTTTGTACCAGTTTTACTACCGGTTCACTTGTGTGTGCACACGACGCTTCTGCACATGCACAAAAGTGTCCCGGTGAGTGGGCAGAGCCTCCCGCCGCTGCTACTACTGGTTTGGCCGAACCAGGAGCAACCCACCTCTGGTTTGGATAGACATGGTAACTGATCAGCCAATAGGGATTGTTTGGATAGACAAGGTAACAGGTCAGCCAATGGAGACTGTTTGGAAACTGAAACATAGTATTTGATGTTTGTAGTCTGGGCGTGGCTTAGACTTGCTGAACTGTATATGAGTTAATTTGGTCTCTTTAACTTGTCCATCCTCTGTACAATATTAGCCTCTGTATCTCTCTACTTTGTAATGGCTTGCTTCTATGAATATTGCTTCTGTGTTCCTGATATTGTATGCTGAATTCTGCTGTTTGGTATTGTATATAAAGAAGTTTCTTATATATAATTGAATCCTGCTGAAGTTAATTTACTTGTATCTTGCTGGGATGTTTATTAAAGATGGGATGATGAATATAATAATTTTAAACATACAAAATCTGGTATTAAAATAGAGGTTAATATTCTGTGTTTATTACACAGAATAGGTGTTTGCTTAAAGAAATGAAAATGTCTCTATATAAAGAATTTGCTTCTGTCCACTTTTGTTATATGAAAATAAATGTTTTCCAGGTCAAGAGAAATGAAAAAGCAAATGAATAAAAGGAGGAAGACATTACTTAGAATTGTATAAAATGAGATATGGTCAAAAGTAAATATTTACTGGATACAAAAGTGAATGATTAGTACAGAATGAAATAAATATATTAGATGATTTGGGAATATAGAATGAAGTTTTAATTATAAAACAATTTTATGAAGAAAGTGTGAAAGGATTGAGAGGAAGTTGGAAGGCCAAAGAAATAATAATTGGATGCAATTGATGAGAACATTTTGCCTGACTCTGAAAAGCGCAAGATTCCTATTTTAATAGGATACATTGATCATACTGTTTTCAAAAAACAGCAGGTTATTACAGTTATATAAGTTAATTGTAGTACAAATCAATTGCAAATAAAATTCCTAACAATCATCAACTGCTTTGTACACCAGCAAAAATTAAACCAATACTAACCTTGGAAGGAAATGTGCCTTAAATTTGGTTTGGAACATTCTGGCAAGAATAACTAACAGAAGCATTAGAAGAACACTAGTAGCAGTGAATGCTACAATCTTCCATGTTCGTAAAAGAGTTTCCTGGTTATTTGGCCAGGCTTGTTCTGTGAAACAAAGAGTAATAGGAAACACTAGATAATAATTGCCTTTTATTGCATACAAGGAGAATCAGAACCAGAACTACATGCTAAGCTACAGAGCTACAAACACAACAAATACGATTGCTCACATTTATTTTTGCTTTTATAAAATTATTTTCAATCTAATAAATTATCACATGTGAAAGCAGTGATATCTGCAGATCAAAACAGAAAGATGATGGTTATGCTCCTGGGCGCTACACATTGTTGATATATCTATTGACATTAGTAAAGGTAAAGGTTCCCCTCACATATATGTGCTAGTCATTCCCAACTCTAGGGGGCGGTGCTGATCTCCGTTTCAAAGCCGAAGAGCCAGCGCTGTCTGAAGACATCTCCGTGCCCTATTTTTCTACTTGCATTTCTACTTGCTTTCAAACTGCTAGGTTGGCAGAAGCTGGGACAAGTAACAGGAGCTCACTCCGTTACACGGCACTAGGGATTCGAACTGCTGAACTGCCTGCTTTTCTGATCGACAAGCTCAGTGTCTTAGTCACTGAGCCACTGCATATTGACATTGCACACATACAAAAGGAGCAGGGTTTGGATTGGGACACCTCCTGTGGATACTTCTGTTTTGAAAGCAAAATAAATGCTACAAGTAATAAAGTATTGTGGAGGCAGTTTCAATTCAAACATACCTTTATTTGAAAAATTAATGTTTAAACATTTAATATCCAGATTCCTTTGTTCTTACCTGTTTTGATACAGTATACTTGATATGATGGAAACCATTTTCCATACTGGCAGGTGATATATTTGTAATCATTACTGAGAGTGTAGCCAGGATCACAATAGAACTCAACCACAGTTCCATGGTTGTAATGTTCACAAGGCCGCGGATGGCAGATATAATCTCCATGAGTCACCATAGGAGGTAGCGGACAAACTTGGACATAAATAAAATATTTTTTAAAATGTGAGTTAATTATAGTAATAGCATCAACAGAAATAAGAATGTAACAATATTTCTATGTAATGCCACCTCAGTCAAAACATAAACATATCGATAATTTTATGCCATAGGTACCTATATATTACACATCAACAGATTAGTTTATGCACAATTGCAGGCACAATGCTATGAATAAAAAAGAATTAAACAATTACTGTTGCTGAAAACACTGTTGGGCAAACATTAATGTCAAGTTTTATTAAAAATAACAAAAATAAACTTTACACAAATTATATTCCCAGTATTATGCCTCCATTTCATTCTTACAATTTTATAAAGTACTTTAAGCATGCTTCATATTTAGTCAATGAAATATATGCTAGAATCTACAATTAATTGACAGTATAACATTTCAGTAGGAACATAAAAATTGGAAAAAACCATCACTTTTATTGCATTAAACATTCCTACACCTACTAAAACAAGCAACTTAATTTAATTTAAAAATTCTTAATACAAGATATATCAAAAGTTAATTAATAAAAATTCTTAAACAATCCTAAATTTCTGTTTAGAGAACTACCCAAATATCCAAATTTCTCTGAAGTCAATGAAATTGTAGTGCCTGGTGTATTTGCTCAAGTCTAAGATATGAAATAGACTTTGGTGAAAAGGCAGGAATATTGATTTATATTAGTGCTTTGTTACTAGTATAACATGAAGGAAATAATCACCAATATTTACATATTAACACAACTCCATTCCAGTTTTTCCAGTCCAATGTTCTGTTATTTTCAATATTCCCAGATAGCACAATCACAAATTGCCAGCAGTAACTGGTAAAACCTTGTATTAGTATTTTGTGGATCTACACTGAAACTTCAGAGACCAGCTATACTACCTTTAGAATGAAACCAGGAGTTATTCACATTAAGTGTATGCAAGATTGTACAAATTGTTGAAATAGCAATAGCACATATACTGATTCACAGTGCTTTACAACCCTCTTTAAGCAGGTTACAAAATCAGCATAATGATCTGGTCCTCATGTTACTGATCTCAAAAGAATGGAAGGCTGAGTCAACCTTGAGCCAGTGAGAATCAAACTGCCGAACTGCTGGCAATCGGCAATCAGCAGAATTTGCCTGTAATGCTGCATTCTAACCACTGTACCACCATTGCTCATATATAACTCTTAGCTGTTTTTTTTTACTAAATTATGTCTGGATCTGGCAAAAAGGTTCTTTGCAGCATAAATAGTTCTCAGTACCTGCACTGTTATTATTCTGTGGTGAATGTCTGCTTGGAGAATAGAATCCATAGTCAACAATAGGTAGAACGAATAGGTGACATCAGGTTTGAAGCAGTTTCAAATTTTGATGTCACATTCATTCTCAGTAGAATTGCACTGATTACTATCTTTGTGGCCTATGCATCAACAGTGGTGAATAGTGAAACCAACAACCCCTTTTTACATTGAATCATACAGCATTATAAATGAAGGCCATAAAGAGGACTCTTCATGTTGGCAGATGATCTAAATGCACAGATTGGTAAATTGCAGCTTGGCTGGGAAAATGTCTAGAAGCATGAATGATAATTGGCACAATTAAACTCACTATTCATTTGCAACAACCTATTTGGGGACAGGTCTGATCATCAATTAACTTGATAGTCATGAGCACTAAATGTTGCTTCTATTATCAATTATTTCCTAATAGGAAGGTACTTTAAGTCAGCTGTTAATGATGTCAGATTATTGAGAAGTGCTAAGTAGAGCAATGTCTAACCATTACCTGGTTCAATGCAAGATCAAATTGAAATCTGTGCTACCCTCTGATCTGCCACTCAGTTTCAGTTGAACTTACTGATCTCAATAATGTCAAGAAGCCACAGACCTGACACTCTGCAACATGAGCATTGTGTCTGTGTAGAGAAGCTATGATTTCAAGTTGGAAACATTATCAACGGGGCAATAAGAATTATCTGCCCTTGCACACAGAAAAGATCTAGCAAATTGGACAACAAATTAGCCATTGATACAAGAGATAATGGCCATGCTTGCAAATCTAACTGTTGCAAAAATGCTGACAAAACAATTGCTCAAGAAACTGAAAAGAAGACCTTTCGAGAGGGGGTAGCTGCAGAGGTTGGTACCACAAATGGGTACAGTGACCAAAGGTCACTCCTTGTTGTGGCCTGAAGGCTGCCAGCAGAGCTAGCAATAGAGTCAGACAAGGAGGAGGTTGAGAGGGAGCCTGGGCAAGCTTTGGAGTCTTTGGAAGGCTCTGGTGAGGAAGCAGAATCAGGGGCAGAGCTGGGGCCTTCTGTCCACCCCTAGGTGGAGAAGCGGCTGTCTTCATGGCCTGAGCTGAGTGATGGGGAAGAACAGACGAGCCCTTCCTAGATGAGCATATGTGAGGAGAGGAGAGTAACCGAAGGCAAAAAGCCGGCTCTCAGAGAAAAGAAGATGTAGACGCTAGCCAGCCCCTTCCTGGCTGGGAAATAAATAGTAGGGGTTTGGAAGTGGCCTGTTGTCACAGACAACTATTCATTTTCCAATCAAGTCAGATTCCTTTGCTAGAACCAGGTTTGTTGGGACTAATTGTCCTATATTTGAGGTGCCAACTGAGTCTCCCTGCTGGAAAATAACAGGGAGTGAAGTTGCCTCAGCTGATGTGAACAGGGACTGTTTCTGCTTGGCTTAATCATTGAAAGGACTTTTTTTATTTTGAGTTCTCATGTGAACAGAGACTATTCTTGCCAGTTTCAGAAGTGGAAAAGACTTGCATTTGTGACTAGTTACTTTTGTTTTTGTTTATCCAACTTGAACAAAGACTGTTCCTGCCATGTTTAAAAAAGGGGGGGGGATTGTTTTACTTGTGAGTAAGCAGTTTCTCACTGCTTGCAAAGGCTGGGTCAGAACACTTCTCTCCCTCTTGAAAGGGTTATCAGGCAAGCAGATGCCTAGCCTAGGCATCAGTAGTGTGCCAGGGTGAGTGGCTAAAAGACTAGCCAAGGTGCTACAACACTGGAAATAACACATTGACTTGCTTTTAAATTGTGAGGTACTAGCTGCATTAGATCAAGACCAAGGATCTAGATGCATTCTCCGATTCTGTTATGTGAAACTGTACTAAACAAAACAAAACAGAGATTACTATCAAAAATGGAGAAGCTGCAAGGCTTGACCAAAACAAGGAATCCCTGTAGTGATTACATTCACAGACTATTGAGGCAGAAACGCTGTCAAGGAGGTGGGCGTGAACATGTCACTTCAAAACCAACACTCCAAACTTGAGGGAAAATGAAATACTCAATATTCCATTATGCTTTATGGCCATAACATTTTTTATATATTGAATGTGTGTGAATTATACAATGGAGAAGAAAAATAATCATACATTTTAGACACGATGGCCAAATTAATCTCGGTTTAGAAATTAAGCAAGTTCTGTTGCTATTATACCTGCCATTTCCATCGTATGATGAAAGCAATGGCTGTCATTTAAAGAAAATGAATGGAAACTCTATAAATCTATACTCAATTTCTGTTACTAGAATCTATTTCCATAGGCTAACTTGCAAAAATAAATTATTCAATTGCCAGATGTCAAATTTCCAGTTTTAGGTTTGTTAAAACTCCAGGTTCCTTCCCTTCTGAGGAAGGAGCAATCTTCTCTCTTGTTCTCCCCATAGGCTGCTATGTTTATTTCATGGCTCTGTTTCACAGTAAAGATCTATGCATGAATATAAATAATGCATGCACCAATTCACAACAGTATATTTTTCCTAGAAATCACAATTCAGTAATTTCTCCCCTTCCACCTACTCACATAAATAATGCATTTCAAAAGTAATTCCACTCCTCCCCCTGAAAGAATACAATCAGACACTAAATGAATCTTCAAAAAGAATTGATTGTAATATGCAACACTCTTCCATATACTTTAAAGCATGGCTTTCTTTGCATTTTTACTGGTTAAGGCTTTATAAATTATAATACTGTATATACTGTAAAATTAGAGCATATAATTCACACAGAAAGCTTTTCCAGCAGGAATCAACTTAAGGATTACTAGAAGTTTCATCAGGAAGTCAGCAGAAGGTCTTAAACACTTTCCTTGTTTGGCTTAAAATAACACTGATAAATAGGAAATAATTATTAGTATTGGTCAAACAGATCTTTTTCAATAAGCAAACCACAGAAATTAACTATAGATGATTAATGGAAATTTTATCACTTTTTTTCTTCTGGTTGCAGAAATCTAACATAAGTAACTGTTAATCAAAATCAAATGCTTTGATTTAACAGCAAACAAAATGAAAAGATTTCCTATCATAGAGATTAATTTCTCTAAAAAGAAACGTTTAAGCTCAAGTAATGCTCTCTCTAGACATCCATAAATACTCAATACGTTAGGGTCCATGATAATTAGTCCCCCAAAAGCAATATTAAGAAAGGAAGAGAGAGGAAGAGAGAGGAGGAGCTGATGTTGTAACGACACGACGTGCGATCTTGGAGCTCCAAGATCGCAGTTGATACTTTTGCCACTGGACGGTCCTTTTGGACCTAAACCGTCCCAAAGAGACAGGGACAGGGAAGAGTACGTCCTGCTGATCTCAGGGACACCGCAAAGTCCCTGATTGATCCAGGAGAATCTCAGAAGCGCAGCCGTTGAAGCTGCTGAAGTTGGGACCGCTCCGGAACAGGAGGAAAATGGAAAGAGAAAGTGTGTCCATCTGGTGAGGAAATCTTATTATTATAAAGGACACTACCCCCCCCCTCAAAAAAATTAAAGCTAAATTAAATTTGAAAACAGAAGAGAACAAGCAACGAAATTAAGCTACATTAGACAGTGTGTTATCCTTTTTTAAAATTTTCTTTTACGGCTGGAACTTTTGCAAATGTTTTCTATTCTTTAAATTGAACGGATTAGTTTTTCTTCTTCTACTTTTCATATATTTTTTTTCTACCCAAGGATTAAAATCTT